ACCGATCAATGACAACCAGGCTGAAGAAGGTTTAGACTCTCCCTCGACTATGCAAAAGGATGTAAATGAACCAACAAAATCGCCAATACAAGACCTCTCTAATAGAATACAAACTAGAAGCCAAACGAGAAATAAAAATATTCACCAAGGAAAATTATTGCAACAATCACAGGAAAATGAAGACGAAATTGAAGAAATAGAAAACGGAAACGATCCACCAGACAAGAAAAATGACTATGAGGACGACGCAAGCAGTAAAGACGAAAATCAAGAATCAAAAGATAGTGAAACTAACGGAAATAAAAACTCGGGAGTAAAACCTACCATCGCCAACAGTGAAACAGTTAAAAGTAACGTAATTGATAGTCGTGATTTACTATTCCTATGTAAAGATAACGTCGCATACTTTGTAAACACCAAAGGGAAACCACTAGATTCGGGTTCGCAAAAATTATTTGAACGGAACGAAATTCCAAGCTTGAATCCTCTTACCTTAGGAGAAGCTAAAGCAGTAAAATATAAGAAATACTATCACATAGCCTTGCCTATCAGTGACGGACAACGCGAGGGACCAACCATGACTCTCACTCAGATCTCTGCAGCAATCAAGGACTTACGGGTTGCCGCAGAAAACCGGAATTTAGAAACTCTTAGCATCGCGAAAATGGATTATGTTAATAATGTACCCTGGAGCAATATTAAAACCGTATTGCAATTAACATTTGCAGATTCGCCGATCAAATTAATTATATGCAACGGACTAGTTAAATATCCACCAAAAGACCTTCGTTCCGCGATAATCGGAGAAATTCACTGCTTACCTGTCCGGGTGGACACAGAGGTGTTACGAAAACATATAATAGAATAAAACACAAATACTATTGGGAAAATTTGAAATCTGACGTACAACGCTACATACAGCAATGTTTGCAATGTCAATTAAAAAAGTTAGTACGAGTAAAAACCAAACAACCTATGATGATTACTGACACGCCAGGATCTTCATTCGATAAGGTAGCCATGGATATCGTGGGACCTCTATCTAAAACCGAGAAAGGAAACGAATACATACTTACGTTACAAGATCAGTTAACTAAATTTTGCATGGGTATACCCCTGCCAAATCAAACCGCTGAGACCGTAGCAGAAGCCTTTGTCGACAGGTTTATCTGCACTGTAACTATCCCAAATCGTACCGTCTTTGAAATTGACAAAATATAATATTATTTCTAATTATTCTTATACAGGCGTTTGGAAACATTGCTCGGATGCATCATGATTGTTTTATCTTTTATGTTGTTCCAAAGCAAAGACAAAATGATGCATCGAGGCATCATAACCTAAAAGGCTGCGATTCCGAATAAAGCCATATATAAGAGGTGATACGATTTAGGAAACTTAATCGATTTTATAAAAATATTTATTTAATCTTTGTAATGGATGTAAATATGTATATCAATGAATGTAAAATATTCTACAATAAACTTTCTTTTGTGAAA